GGATTGACAGTGTGTGTATGTGTGTGTGTGTGTGTGTGTGTGTGTTACAGACGCGGCTCCATGCAATCGCGCGCACACACGCACACACACACGCGCGCGCACACACACACACTGTACGGCTACGGCTACGGCAGCGGTGGCGGCGGCGGCGGCAGCGGGCTTCACTTCTCTTCCCTCTCAGACAAAAAGATCCGAGGCCGCCGTGCGGCTGCCTGGGCCCGAGCGCCACACAGCGCGCCCCTTAGGCCGGTCCCGGCACTACAGCGGCCGCGGCTCGCGAGGCAGGATCCAGCTCAGCCCCAGCAAAGCAGTTCCTGGCGGGGAACAATAGGCTCCTCTCGCCGCTAAGGGCTCATCTGCAATGTGCCGCAAACTTCACACAAAGCCGGGCGGAAAGAGACGAGGGAGAAGGCGAGGAGGGAAGGGAAAAAACGGCTACTACCGGTTGTTGCAGGGTTAGGGGCCAGGGAAATGTTCCCTTCTTCCCGGGCTGCGGACGAACGAGGCGCTCCAGTGCCTGCCGTGACTGGGAAGGAGGGGGAAGGAGAGACTGATCTGAAATACAGACATGCAGTGTTTTTAACTCGGGCTACGCTGAAATTGAAAAAAACAAATTAGACCGAGTCTGTTGAAGGTTTTTAAAAAACAAAAAAAGAAAAAAGGGAAAGGGGCATTGGAGAATTCTCACTTTGAAAAAACTTCTGAGTGTCTCGAGCTGAGAGGTTTTGAGCCAGGAAGTCCCACAAAATGACAAGGGGGATTTTGTGAATGCCCCATTCAAAGGCCCCCCAGCACACTCCCTCCCCTCCTTTTAAGAGGTTCAGAATAAACTACCTAATTAGGCAGTCTGACCTCTTTCTTCCAGTGAGAGAGATAGGCAGACAGCACACCCTGGGTCTCAATTTTCCAGTTAGGTAAATAATTTGATTTAGAGTTGTGTGTGTGTGTGTGTGTGTAAAATGTATGTATATGTATGTGTGCATACATATATACATACATGTATATGTATGTGTGCTGCATATATGTAGCTTCAACTGAGATGCAGTACTTTGTGTGTGTGTGTGTGTGTGTGTGTGTGTGTGTGTACTACAATTACTGCCATTTTATGTTAATATACAAGTGATGGCCTCCTCAGAGGAGGTGAATTTACCCCTCTTCACTGTAGGACGGGGTGGGCAAAATGCGGCCCAGGGGCTGGATACAGCCCTCCAGGCCATTCTATCTGGCCTGCGGGGCCCCTAAAATTTTAGAAAATTCC